TTGAATATGCTAAGTCAAAGAAGGCTGGAACAAAAGGCTATGTATTGTATCATTCCATTTATAGAAAATGTCCACAGGGACAGAAGGTAGATTAGTGATTTCCAAGGGCTGGGGAGAGAAGAAATGGAGAGTGACTGCTAATGAATATTGGGTTTCTTTTTCGGGTGATAAAAATATCTGAGTTAAATATTGGTGATCAACACATAACTTATGGATATACTAAAAACCACTGGATCTTATCCTTTAAAGGGGTGAATTTTATGCTATGTGAATTATATCTCAATAAAGCTGTTATTTAAAACAATATGGGGAAGAAATACATTACCTCAACTTAATCACTTAAAAAACAATGTAATCGCACTTACAGTGAGACATAAGTTGAGTTTTAATCAGCTGTGTAACCTTGAACATGTTGTTTATCTCTGTAAGTCTCAGTTGTTTTACCTGCTAAATGGAGATGATGATACCTACCCCATAAAATCATTGCGATGATCAAATGAGTTAGTACATATAAACCTTTTGGAAGACTGTTAATTACAGAGGACGTGTTCAATAAATGCTAGCAATCTTATAATTATTAACTCACAAACGTAATTCTTATGGCTGAAGACCCCTTGGATATAATTACTGTCCCTGGCATCACTCCAATTACTTCAGACTCAACTCAGAGAAAAGGTGGAGGGCAGCTGCCCCATGGGGAAGTGTCAGGGAGCTGCAAGAACGGCTGCAGACCAGCAGCAAAAACAAACTATGAACAAGAAACAAATATGATTACTAAATGCTCATCTTCATAAAAACCCAATTAAGTCAACTGAACTCCAAGAAAAGTAGGAAAGCAGAACTACTTCTAAGTGTTGAGAAGATAAATATAGATATTTCATTTTATTATGATCTTATAAACCAAGGCAAGGGCATACTTTTATGATCAAGGTAAAACTTTATATTGGAAAAGTGATTAAAAGACAGCTGACAACTAATGAGGGTGATTCCTTGTTGGTCAATTGGATGATCAGAAATCTGACTGCCTGATCAACTTTTCTCAATGAGGTCTTTGTTGCCCAGGATCTTTCAAGAAGGAGGTAACTGCAATGAATCTTTGAGATCCTTGAAGCTTCCTTCTTTGACTGGCAATATTTGGGTAGAAACATTTCTAAAACTTTAAAACATTACCACATTCCTCTCCCATTTCACCCAAGTTTTAATTTCACCTTCCTCGGGTGACTGTGAATACGGTGAGGTTCTCGCAGTCAGCAGTTGTCTGCTTCAGAGCTGTCTGCCTTTGCCCCGTGATCATGGCTTTCTGCCAGCGCTACTACTGACACTGAGTTTACAGGGTTGCTGAGCAGTGGGGTATTATCCAGTGCACTAAGTGTTCAATTACTCATTCATTTTAAAGGATTGTGATCTTTACAAGACTCGAGATTCTCATTTTTCTCTAAACTGGACAGAGGGATTTTAAAAATTATTGTTATTATTCATCTTTATATCTCTGGCTCAGAGCACAGGGCCTGGCATATGGCGGCCATTCAGTGAACATGTGGGGAGTGGACATGTGGGAACGTCTGGGATGAGTTTGAAGTCATATAGTCCTACTTTTCATCAGAAAGTAGTTAGTGGAAGCCCAACAGCACTTCCTCCTCTCCTCCTGCCCCGTCCACAAGGCTCTTCCTCTTACCACCAGCTGTGACTAGGCTTACCTCACCACTTCCTAGGACACTTCCCGTATTGGGTGCTGTAAGTAAGGACATTACCAGATTTCCTTTCAGGAGACACTCACTCCCCCAGCTGCTGGGAGTGTTGGTGCTGAGGGCTCACACTGGAGTCCCTCTCCAGGCACTGTCTCCACCAAAGGGAGCTCTTCCCCTGGAGTCATTTCACATTTAATGACCATCCAGCGTGAGGATTCCAAGGCCTGGACCCACTTCAGGACGACTCTGAAGAGCCATTTTAGCTCCAGAGCTCTCTGTGGGATTGGCTGAGGCTTTCTGTTTTTTAAAGATTGGCACCTGAGATAACAACTCTTGCTAATCTTCTTTTCCCCAAAGCCCCCCAGTACCTAGTTGTATATTCTAGTTGTGAGCGCCCCCAGTTCTGCTATGTGGGACGCCGCCTCAGCATGGCCTGATGAGTGGTGCCATGTCCATGTCCAGCATCTGAACCAGTGAAACCCTGGGCTGGGAAGCGGAGCATGCAAATTTAACCAGTCAGCCACAGGGCCAAACCCTTTTTTTGTGGCTGCAGCACAGCCCTTCTTCACCTTCTGCCCACTCCTGCTGCCTTCGCTCCCTCACAGGCGTTTTTCCCAAGAGCACTTCTCAATAATGCTAATATATATATAATATTATATATAATAAATATATATAATATATGTAAATATATAATATATAATAATAATAATAATATTCCCTGCACACACATTTCTGAGTCTGTTTCCCCAAGGAACCACCTTTGAACGGTAAGACACTAGTTTGGACTATGTGTAGTACCTGGCTTAGCACATAGTCAGTGCCCAGTAAATGTTGACTCCTGTTGCATCCACCTTTCTTGTTATGATGACAACAGGGAAATAAGTCATCCAAGCAGAGTTTGCCAGAAGTTGTGAGTTGGTGGGAAAATGGGTGCTAAACCAACATCTAACCTGATCAGCAACAGACTTTCCAAGTTCTTGGGTTCCATGGGGTGTTTGTATGGGCAACCAAAGTGAGCCCGTGTGCCTAATAGAGATGACCACAAATTCCTTGACACTCTCCAACAAAAGGAGTGGTGGGTGTCCCCTCCCCTGAGTCTGAGTGGAGGGACCTGTGACTGCTTTGACCAATACAAAATGGCTGAAGCAATGCTGTGCCTGTTTTCAGACCCAAGCCTTGAGAGATTGGTACCTTCTAGTTCCTGTCTTTCAGAACTCTCTCTCTGGGATCCCTGAGCTGCCATGTAAGAAGGCCTACTATGCTAAGACTGCCCTGCTGGAGAGGCCAACTGTAAAAGCTCTGCTAGACATTCCCCAGCTGAGCCAACCTTCTAGCCATCTCCCACTCGCAATGTGCCAAACGTGTGAGTGAAGCTGTCTTGGATCATTGTGGATCCATCAATCTACCATCTGAATACCACCTAGTGACCTCAGTGAACCCTACATGGAGCAGAAGAATAACAAGTCAGGCTCTGAAAAATTCTTTTTTTTTTTTTTTTAAAGATTGGCACCCGAGCTAACATCTATTGCCAATCTTCTTTTTTTTCTGTTTTTTTCTTCTTCTTCTCCCCAAAGCCCTCCCAGTACGTAGCTGTATATTCTAGTTGTGAGTGTCTCTGGTTGTGCTATGTGGGATGCCACCTCAGCATGGCCTAATGAGCGGCGCCAGGTCTTTGCCCAGGGTCTGAACCTGGGAAACCCTGGGCTGCAAAAGCGGAGCATGTGAACTTAACCATTTGGCCACGGGGCCGGCCCCTGAAAAATTCTTTACCCACAAAATCATGATATAACAAAAGAGTTATTTTTAAATTTGTTATGTAGTAATAGATAACTGGAACGACCTCATCCTGGAATCCTCTCAACACCTCCTTCTAACTCTCTATCCCTCATTGGGAACGGAGCGAGGAAGAGAATATCTCATAAATACTTTATAGAGGTGGAGGCCCACTATCTCAGATGACTTGCCTAAATCTAAATGTTTAATTTGCAACCATCCTAGAAGTAGAACTGATTTCACTTCAACCTTTCTCAAGTGTATTTCCGTTTGACAGGATTTATAGTTTTGCTTTGAAAAAATGAAATGATAGTAAATAATTATTTGAGGGAACCGAATGGTGGGTGAGGATGACCTCCCAGGCATGGTTCCAAGGGGACACCAGACCTCTGCTTCCAGATCTATAGAGAACAGATTTGCAGAGAATCTGGTTCTTAAGGTTTTAACTGAAAGGTAAACTTTGAGACTAGAGAAGTGTTCCTTAACATGCATGATGACTCAAGTCATGGTTTGTCAGGAACTAGGAATAATTGAGATATTTTTCTGTACTATCTTCAGAAATAATTGATACGTGTCAGAATCTGTGTCCAGATTTTCCGTTTGTAAGACATGGCCACTAGACTTACCCCTTGGGTTCTATTTCTAGCTTCTTATGCCAGGATTCTATTTCAAGATCTATTCATTTAATAATTGTTACTCAGAGCTCTGAGTCTCCTTGGCTCCACGGACTGACTCAATAAAATGCCTGCCACCGTTCTGGGAGCTCCAGGTACAATATGGATAACAAAAGTCTTACCTCACTTTTACTCTCCTCCAAAAAAACCCCACAAACAAAACACAACAACTTTGAAGTAAAATTTTTCACTAAACGATAAGTGAAGGAGCCACATCTCGGTAAATGTTCAATGTTTGCAGCTGACAGTCCTATTATTGTCAACTCTGGACTCCCTAAGAGAAAGAAAGAAACTAAGACTGTTGAATCCTTACTGTGTGCAAATACCGTAAATTTATATGCATGATCTCAATTCTTACAGCATTCCTGTGAGGTGGGTATTGTTAGCCCCATTTCATCCAGGCATGGAAGGGTTAAGTAACTTGCTCAGGGTTTCACAGACAGTAAGCGAAGGAGCAGAAGGGGAGAGGGTGGCAGCAACCCAAACTCAGATATGTCCGTCTGAGGTCAAATTCCATGTTCTTTATCCGGTGTGATGCTGCCTAATCTCCTGAAAGGGGCTGAGAATTTTGGGCTCTTATAGTTGCCTATCCACGGGAAACAAATTCCAATCACCAATGAGGTGGAAGGCTTTTATGACTAATTCAAACCAACAACTGTATAGCGCACTGCTATGCACATGTATGTGCATATAGTGTGAATGCTCGTTCTAAGACTCAAAACTTTTCGATGTTTGGTGAGGTTATTGGTGCCTTACTTAGAATCTAGTAAGTATGGATGTCATTAAGTAGATGATTTACTACTCAAGCAAAGTATTTGATCCTACTGTTATGCCCACAGAAAAAATACACAAAACATTTACCTACCTACACAGGAGTGGCCATTGGAGTGTCGTGCAGGCTGGTCATCATACGCTGGAGAGGCCAAGGCGTGAAGGGGCAGGAGAAACAACAGAGGAGCCGCCATAAGGAGTTTGCGGGGGGACTTCATCTCTGAGCTGTCGGCCAGGAGAGACCAGCCTGGCTACAGAAGCTGCCGGCTAAGCGAAGCTGAAGTTGAGGCCGCAGAGTCGATCAGCCTCTCTCCCTTTCTGTTCTGTCCTCTGACACGTACACTCAGCACACTCTCACATACACACTTTTCACTAAGTGTGAAGGGAATAAAGACTCACAAATGCTCAGAGACCTGCTTCTCACTACTGCAGAACCCTGAATGAGAGCCACACAGGCCTGGGTTTGGGGAGAGCCGAAGCGAGTCCTAGGTGTGCAGTTCTGAGCAAAAAACTGCAGGAAAAGGAGAAAGACAAGTAGCAGTAGTGGCAGCAACGTGCACTTCTGTGCTCACCAGCTGAAGTCAGAGGTTGTGAACCTGAGGAACCTCGAGGTTTTCCGGAATCGTGCTGCAGGGTGGTTGGGAGGCCCTTCCCCTTTCGTTCTTGCAAAACAAAACTAAGCTACAACTAAAACTGAAGGAAAAAAAACAACCCACAAAGACACAACCCTTAGCAATTTGATCAGCAGGGTCCACGTGTTATAGGAAGTATGACTCATTTTATTCAGAAGTTATTTAGTTTTGCTCTAAACAGCTTTCTATGGTGAGGTTGGGCTTCTCATTTTGTTGCTAAAGAATATTCTGATCAAGTCGTTATTCTCCTCTGGAGCAGCTGGATTACTCCTGGCGGGTCAAGTTTTCTCAAGGCTTTTCATTTGGTGTGCAGAAAATGAGCAAGGAAGACAATAATGGGCAGTCGGCATGGCTGGATTTTAAATCTAATAAGAAAAAAAGATGTGCTAGAATTAACCAGTTCATATTTACTTGGCTGTGCATGATGTATCTCTTCTCTAGATTTTCAAAGTGTGTTTATATTTCCCACCTGTGGATAATTTGTTCATTTTTAAGAGACTGATTTTCTGTTTTGAAGATGAATCTGAATGCTGTTTTTCTGGGGGGAAAAAAACCTGAACTAGATCGTAGATAAAGAAAAGACACGTAACGTAAACGCTTTGTTCTAAAACAGGATATGGCAGAGTCAGCTGCTGTTGTCAGACGAGATAAGGGGACTGGGCCAAAGCGCCCGTCTAGACAAGCAAAGGAGATCGTGCGGTTTTTATTCTCTCAGTCTAGTTTATTAAGAAAGTTTATTATAAACTTTATGAAATATGAAAGCGATCAAACTTGCTAGAGATTTCTCCTCCTCCTCCACATACTTTTATTTAGGGAATAGCATTTTAAGTAGTAGGCAGAATTTTAGAGTTCTACTCTTTCCAGGATGTAGAAAATACCAATTTTTATGGTTTGAAGATTTCTCGTGTAAGCATTAGTTTAACGAATGCCAACTTGTCAAATTTCTGAATCTGCACCAGAGATATCACCCTGCAGAGCGTTTCCTTCTTTATGCCCCAGCACAGGTTGGGCTAGCCAACCTCCCTGGACCTCTATGGATGGACCCCCATGGATGTCCTTGGTCACTATGGGCCTGTGGCCTCCTTTGAGGCTGAGCTCCTGCCTCTCAAGGTCCCCGACCCTGTGACCAAGGGAAGCTCTGGAGGTCACCAGGACCAGCACAGGGGTCCGGGCTAGGGAAGTTCCAGAGTCTTCCTAGGGACACAGGATAATTGAATGATTAAGAGCACAGACTGCAAAGACAAAAAGACTATGTTCAAATATCACAGCTGTTGTTTACTTCTGAGTAATGTATTAGGCCAGTGATGTAACCTACCTGCACTTCGGTTTCCTCATTTATATTGGCGTAATAATATTTGTCTTACAGGGTTGCTGGAAGGACTAAAATAGATGGTGTATTCAAACTATAAAGCGGTGCACCTGACAAGAAGTAAGTTCTTACTAAATCAAAGCTTTGGTTTTTATCCCAGCAGGAGTGTGATGAAATCTGTATCCCAGGCCAGTCTTCCAGAGAATTCTAAGACACTCATGGTAGTTGCAGGCCAAGATGTGGGGAAGCAGCGTGGACTGGAAGAGGCAGCATTTACTGAACATTTTCTGTGTGCTGAGCAGCACTCCACGAGTGCACAATCTATTTGCTCACCCACAGGTTGGTGAGGAATCTTCAGACAGCTTCACAAAGAGCATTTGGCACAGGCTCTGAGCATCCTGAGGTTCTCCTCATCTAGATTTATAGCTATAGGCAAGCCTGGAAAATCTCAAGGTGAGAGGAATTTCTCAGTATAAAGCTGTGTGCAAGTTTTAGGCCCTTGGTCACGTGTGCGTGACCCAGCTGGTTCCACCCACAGCTGCCTCAGGGTTAGTGAGCCCTGAGACCACCTGGTGTGCTCAGGCTTCAGGGCTGGCCACACTGGGAACCCCCGGCTTAGCTGTGTGGCACTAAGCCAGACCCTTACCATTTTCGGTTGTAGGGGTACGTCATGGCAGTATCTGATACATAGTAGGTTTTCTGTAAATGGAAGCGATTTTCATGCTTGAAGGTGATTTCTTATGGGCAGGGTCAAAACAGGAACACAGAAATCAGGAAGCAATTTTGTTAACTGATGCTGAAGCGACTGCATGTGCCCTTACACCACTAAAACAAAACTTCCCTCTTGTCGCCAAGGTGGCGAGTTCCTTCTGTTTGCACAGGCGTCCCTCAGACTGGCTGGTCTCATTTCCCCCAACGGGGCTGCCTTTATTCATTGAGCATTGAGTGCAAATGACCCAGGATCTCTGCTCGACTTGCTGAAAGACCCTGGGCCCACCTGTGTTTTGTAACTAGTTGGACCCTGTATGGTATCCTTAGAGGGCCCCTGCTGTCAGATGCTCCAATTCCGATTTTCTCAGAATTGCTTTTGGGAATAAGATTTCTTCCTTGCAGCACTTTGTTATTATTTCACTTGGAGAGTTCCCATTCAAACTACAGTCTGCCCCTCTGCAGCAGAAGGCTGAGGGTTTATAATTCCCAAATGTTACACTTGTGTTTCTGGATCTGAATATGCTTCCTGATTATTTTTTGATCTGCATTGGCCTCAACCATTTCCTTCACAGCAAGTGAAGAAAAAAAACAAAAGACCTGGGTGACAGGAGATATTGTAAAAGCTGACACTATGTCAAAAGCGCCTCTTCTCTTTGAATTTCTCCTCTTTCTGACACCAAGGATCCCTCCGGTTGCTTCTGACTTCCGGGATTCTCTACAGTGGTCCTGGGTTCAGACCCACCAAGCCCAGACCCTTTGCGGACCATCTCCTCCCAGTCAGAGTTTATTTATTCTAGCTCCATTCAATCCTCTCTCTGTTCTAGGGAAGTGGTAAATTAATCCATGACAAGGGTGCTGGTCAGCTCATTAGAAGAGTCTGGGCTCAGAATTGGGGAAACCTACATCTTCATCATGGCTTCACCAGCTACTGGCTGTGTGCCCTTAGGCAAGCTGATCCACCTCTGTGGGTATCAGTTGATCTAACTACAAAATGGGGCATATAATGCCAATATTATACGAAAACTGTGAGAATTAAAGAGACAACATGGATGAAAAAAACCTAACAGTAAATGTTAGATAAATTTAAAGCTGACCATAAACTAAGCTAATCATAAATGCTTTAGAAGCATTATCCTTCTTAAGTATTATTGGAATTTTAACATGTCTTGCTTTGCACATTTTCTAAGAACATTTAAAGGGGTTTCCATTTTAGTAATGCATGTAAGTAGATACAAAATAGGAATTCAGAAGACCGTAGAAGAGTGGCCAGTCACGGGTCCTATCACTGGTGGGTGGGAAACTTGCTATGTAATATGGAAAGTCACCTTATGGTAGGAGAGAGTGTGGAGATCCAGGAATCCAACTCCTAAGAGGTTCACTGGTAGTTCCCATCAGGAAGAGACACCCACTAGGAAGCAATCCAATGACCCCCAGTGCATTAACAATGTAGCAATGGATGGCCCAGCAGCAGTGCAAAGTGACCCAGACAAAAGACAGGACCTGTGCTCCAACCGTCCTTTCCCACTCCCCACAAACGCCATCCACTCATTCATGCTCTTCCAGGTTCTTGAGATTTTTAAAGATACCTTCATACCCACTGCCAGAGATATGCCATTGATAATCCCAAGTGCCTTCTAAGAAGGGTGAATTCTATTAAATACGACTTCTTTTGTCTGCTGGGCACCTGATAGAAAGTTTGGGAAAAAGAGCCGTGGTGAGTGAATTGCTTTTTATAAGAAAGACAGAAGAATTTGGACATAATTCAAAAAGGAGAGATTGGGGCAGAGAAATGAGAGAGACAGAAGGGAGAGGCAGGGACAGATGAGACGCTGGGATCTTCCTGGCTAAAGAGCCAAGAGAGAAATGCTGGGAGGCGGGGATGCAAAAAGACCTGAGCTAATAGGAAGTTCTGATGTGGATTTGTAAGTTGTCTCCTGTACCATGTGAGAGATGATACTTTGCCCAGATCCTGAAGGGATTTTTGTGAAAATCAATGAGGAGAACGAGTTTCATGTTTGGATCAGAGCAGGGCAGAGCTCAGAAGGCACAGGTAGAAACAAGTGCAGAGGCAGAGGGACTAGGAGAATACAACCTCAGAGGTTCACAGGTATCTCGGGGAGGGCTTTGAACTCTCATCTACTATGGATTGATTCTCACATGATTTAGACTCCCATGTGCTATCATAGACCGGGGGAAGGGTGGGCTTAAACAGCTTCTACCTAGGTATCCAAGGTGCAGAGTTAAGTTTGAATGCACATAGGATAAAATAAAATAAACATAGCTGAAATAAGATTGAAGTGCATCTATTCATTCTTTCATTCATTTTTAGACAAAAGAAGTCCAGGGGTAGGCAGTTGAGGGCTGCTATGGCAATCCCACGGTGTCTTCAGGGACCTAAGCTCCTAATTCTCTGTCCTACTATCCTAGAAATGACTTACAGCCTCAAGATCAGCAAAAGGTACTAAAATGGCTTTTAGAGCTCCAGCCATCATGTCTACGTTCCAGGCTGGCAGTAGAAGAAAGTAGAAGGCTAGTGGAGTTCACCCCTTCCCTTATAAGGAGCTTCTTTCCAAATCTCCCCTAACATGTCTGCTTACATCTTATTGGCCCTGCCTGGCTACAAGGAATGCTGGGAAATAGAGTCATATGACCACTCCTAACTGCAAGGGAAGCTGGGGCAGGTATCTTTATTCAGATGGCAATGTGCTTAGCTGAAAATCAGGGCTCTAAATAGAAGGAGAAACAGATTATCGGGCGGCAACTGTCTACCACGTATATGATACATGAACACATGAATATTTTTCTTTCTGAATTGAATAAATCTGATTACCTTGCATATGAGGTGGAATAAGGCACACTGGCCTGTCCTATTCTTTCCAGTGGGGCTTTCTTTGAATGCTGGACTAAAAGCTCCCTAAAAGCACTTTTCCCTCCAAATCTTGCACTGGGGAGCTCATGGAAACACAAATTGACAGAAATTCTCGTGAAAAATTATAGCTGAG